CATACCACCCCTTATGTTACTTACGCCTGTTATCCCCAATGGAGCATAGGCCGCCGACAAGTCTTATTTGATGAATTGACCAAGACCACCTACATTGGAAAATAAATCAGTATTATTCACTGTCATAAAAATTAAGGCTCATTAGGCATATGTCTTTTTGTAAGGAAAATTAAGACAAAGGTAAATTTGTTGAAATATATTACTGAGGCGAATTACCTACCACACTAAAAGTTTACTAATTAGGAAAGTGATTAATAATCGAGCCAAAATGAACTTAATTCTAGATACCAGCAAAAACCAAAAATTACAGGATAGCTCTTTCATTTCACTATGGAACTCCTCAAAATTGTACATCTACTAATCCACCAGAAATCAAATACAAAAGCTCCCAGATGTATAATCAACGATTAACAACTAAAATCTCATAGTTGGTGAAAAATGATTAATTTTCAATTGCAAACAACTTGTGGTACAATGTTATTATCACCACTGGTGTTGGACACTTCACTCTTATGGTGTCTAAACTTCATGCATTCTTAGTAAAAATCCGGTTAACAACTTGGAGTAAACAACTAGTAAGTACTCATACATGAGGACTCATGTACTAGGACTAAATAACTGTAAAAGGCTTTGTGGCTACGTTAGATTCGATGCGATGCTCACTATTTTAGTGGTTAGCGATTTGACTTCATATTTACGAACAGTTGGGCATGTTGTAAGATAAATCTCCCCTTCAGTTTCCCCATATCATTACTTAGGCAAACTCCGTTTGTGCGACGGAGATAATTATGGAAGCCAAATACAGATTCGATTGGATGCAATCGTTCACGCATTCATTAAAGCAGGCAGACGAGAATAAAAAGCATACAAACTGAGTAATGGGCAGCGAAGAGGGAGAGCAAACGAACTCCATGCGATGAAGCATGACTAAGTATTTTTATTGTCAGAATAAAGTAAGCGAGACATGCGATAATCACAGTAACCAGTGCACATACATACTCTAATAAAATCAACCAAGATATGAGCAAATAACAGACATAGTCAACAGACCAATGAATAATAACTCGAGAAGAATGGATTGGTTAATCAGTCCGAAGGCTTGGGACAAGCCTTGTGGGCTCAACATAAAAATACACTCACTACAGGTTCTTGGATTTCATTAGTACTTTAGCTGAGATCAAATTGTAGTGATGTTTCGTCCTATGAGCTGTATGTTTTGGTTGTGGAGCTTTCATTGTTCTTCTGAACAGAACAACATCATCAGCAGCAAAAACTTCAGATAACAGAAGTGAAGTATTTGAATTTCTCTACGGTTGACCCGTAGCTTATTCTGTTCTGAGATCAAATTACGAAACAAATTGCAAACTATGCATTAAATCATTCTTTAAAAACTTCTCCGACTAGGTGATTGCTGGTATTTTGGTAAATTTTTTATATAGTTTTCTGTAGGATAAATACTTAATATACATACATACAGTTTCCTTTACACATGCTGTTAATTTAATCATCTGACAGTCTTGTGTGAATTCCAAAGTAATGAAAATAAGAGGAAGAAAGTAAATTGCATAGAGGTTTTATTATTCACGTGCTAATTTTGTTATGACAGTAAGTAAATGAGAGGAGGAGAGAGAAAAAAATATGCGGAAACAGAATATTGGAAAACTTATTTTTTTCCTGATCATCCTACAAGCAAGCCATTTTGATAAAATCACACCACAGAAGTAGTAGTAGTCGTAGTAATAGTAGTGGTAGTAGTTGATTTTGTAGTAGTACAAATAGTAGAATTAGTGTCTATTTAAAACTATTGTTGAATAACTATGGAATGATTCTTTCAATTAGATTTATGGTGATCAGTGGTTTTACACATTGAAATCATGAATCAATCATTATTGCAGAACCATTAGAAAGCTGGAAGCACTGAAAGACGGCTGTTTCATTCTGATAGGAGGCGGTGACCAGTGGAGTTCAACCCTGTCGGAAGTAGGCAGTAACTACCGAAGACAATGGGTGAAGTGGCCCGAAATCTCTAGATAGACCAGAATTGGACTCAGTCTATCAACCAACCAGAAAAATCATAGGATCAAGAAACAGATCAAAAGGGGAGTGCAATCAAAACAAAGTTGCAAACAACGACAGGTCAAAAGACAACAGCAACCAATCAAGATCGAGGTTAGCAGAACAAGCTACAGGTCAAACGTGGAGAAATTCGAATGCTTCACTTCTATCTGAAGTTTGTGCTGATGATGTTGTTCAGAAGAACAGTGAAAGCTTCACAATCAAAACAACCACCTCAGAGAACAAAACACCACCACAATCATCCACCTGAGCTACAAGTTTTCTCCACCATCTCAAAATTTACGTACACGGATGCCGGCCCTGTGGTCCAGAGGTTAGGCGTTCGCGCACAATACCGAAGGTCCCGGGTTCGAATCCTGTGAGTAGTAGGAGTCGTGAATGCTCACTGCTGATGAGTCCCATACCGGGACGGCATGGCCGTCCAGTGCTTCCAGGTTTCTAACGGTGTTCCAGTGATGACTGATTAGCTATTTTAATGTGTAGGTACTGAATGAATTGAAGTAGTCAAAATCATTTAACAAATAAAATTATTTTTCTACTACTGATAAATTTAAAAATTTACTTAATTCAATGCCAAATTGTAGGTAACTATTCATTCCAGATGTCAAATCTATCAACAATGTTGTTTTTTTGACTAAACTTCAATAATAAGTAACCTCCAAGTAACGAAACCACCGAAAAAGAAGTTAATATCCATTTTACAGTGATAAGATTGTTTCTAAATAAGATTTGATTGATTTGATGAAAGTCAGCTAAAGTTTCTTAAAATACAGAAAATAGTTCACTTTGTTACCAGACCCTTGTGAATGATTGTGCACCTTAACATACAGCACTAATCATAGATAGTGTACTCCAGTAAGCAGTAGAGATATTAAGCTAAACGGTTTCATTTGGTATTACATAGTACTGTAACAATGAATGCTGGATATAATTCATTACGATAAGTAAAGGTAAGCAATTTTTGATCAAGTTTTATCTTTTATAAAGTACAGTTTATCGATCTCTAATGTCAAATCTACATACTGAGAGTAATCCAGGATTTCATTGAATTCCATTTTTAAACCAGAACTAAGCATTTTAAAAGCTGTGACAAAAGACTGCACATAGGCAATTTGCACAGGAAATACATGTGGTCCTGAATATTATCAATTTTAAAACGAAGAGACCTTACAAATACATTTATATCTAGTGAACAGGTCAGTGAGTACCTTAGCTATATAGTTTATTGGTTAGAACGTTTGGATTTAAAACGTTAGGTATTGAAAACGAATATCAGCGTATAATCAGCAACGAGATCCAGGTACATCAATTTGACGAGTCCCTCGTCCTGTATTCGATTACTAGTCAAACATATATTATGTTTACGATGGTGAGTTTAAATATAGAGGGATCGGAAATTCCATCAGCTGATAAATCGATTTATATTAATGAAAAAGTATTTAGTTTGGAGTACATTCATATCTCATTTGTGTGGTTCCTTCAAATCTAATGTTCCATACTTGCGAATTCGACCAATAAAATAATTGACTGAGTATATATGAGCAATTTAAAGTTGTTCTTAGCTTTGCTTGTGAACTGATACTAATTTCTTGTCTTGATATTCATTTCACTCCATGCTACATGAATACACAATCGAAATCAATCAGAATTATTTTATTAATCTCCCTCATATGTGTAATATACTTGATAACTCATTGATTGCACTGTTTTTTTTCCAAAATTTCAGAACATCTCATAGTCTTGGTACCCAGAGTATTCGTACAAGATGTATGCTGGAGAAGAAACGTTCAGGCACTGCAGAACCACCACTTTTAGAAGTGGAACAACAAGCAGTTGACGAAAACAAACAACAACATTCACGATCAGATGGATCATTGTCAAGAAAAACATCTCAACTGTCTGTAAACAATAAAGCGATTGATTTAAATATTGTGGATACAATGCAATTAAACGCAAACAATGACAATGTAATCCAAAGTACTACTGACACTACTACTACTACTACATTAGATAATGTGACCTATAGGAAAAGTAGCATTCCACAAGATACACGTACCGGTTCTCATTCTACTACACCGGATACACCAACTAATACAGAATCAACACTGAAACTTTCCGATGGAGATGTATCAAGGATGGATGATGATTTACACCTATCTAAACCATGTGATTTAACCTCGGAATCTAGTGAAAATAATTTAGAAGAAGTTGGTGAATTGATTATTCAAACAAGCTCAAACAATGAAAAATTTGATTTAGCTGAAAAGTTAAAAAATACTCCACAACAAGAAACTAATTTAGATATTCAAGCTGAATCAACTGATGATCAAGACGATCCAACATCGAATGATTCTGATTCGTCAGATGTTAGTGAAGTGGAAGGTGATTTAACACAACAAATAACTTCAGAGAATGTATCAGATAGTTCCTCATTCAAAGAAACGGAACAAAATAGTCAACCGAAAGAATATGATGGTAAGATAGCGGCGTTAGAACAAATTTAGTTTTTTTATTTATGAGGGATAAAGTTAGATTAGCGCTTTTTAACAATAAACGATCATTTTTATCGTGTAACATGAATTCTTCTATTGACTATACGTTTAACTTTAAAGATATGGTTTAAAACAACAGAGTTATTAGTTTATATTTTAACATGCTTACATCACATTTAACGTTTAAGTAGTATGTAAGTATGCCAATTTCTGTTGGTACGAATATATCACACAGTAATAATAATGTTATTTGTGAACAGAGCTCATTTTTTAACAATTCGGTCTACAACTGTAAATTTGCACGAATCAGCCATTTGGGCTTTTCAATTATCATTTAACATTGTCGATCGGTCGACGCCATTTTGACCTGTCGTCGTGACACCATGTTGATATATATATATATATATATATATATATATATATACTATAGTGCGTATACTTTTACGTCGAGCTCACAGGGCTTTTCCCGATCCTTCGGACAAATTAACTAATCGATTCTGCTCGACTTACTATTCACTGTTCTTTCGAACTTGTCAACTATTCGCTTATATCTTGATTGGTTTTAGTCGTGTATGTGTGTGCACCGCTTACTTCGCTCATTACACGTCTAGTTTATTTTGTCTGACTTTGAATTCTGAGTCATGCTTCATTTTATGCAGTTGACTGGGTCACCTTCTCCAGTTTGCTTTGCTTTCAAGTATTGTATTCTTATGTCTCTCTGAACGAACGACTGCCTGAAATAAACTAATTCAACTGAATCTGTATTTGGCTTCTAATTACCACTGTCGCACAAAAGAGGTTCACTTGAGTATGATATACAGAAACTGAAGGGGAGATTTATTTCATCGCATACTCGAACGTCCGTAAATAGAGAAGTCAGTTGATGGGGCCACTAAAGTAATGAGCCCTACATTGAATCTAAAGCAGCCTCTAAAGATGATGAACCCCACGACGCCATTTCCACTACATCATATATGTATGCTTATATCCAACTAAACTGAAAAAGGTATATTAATGTATACGTACCATTTCGGTATTCACCTACATATTATTAGATAATAAGCAACATATAGATTACCCGATGAAATAAATATGAATTCATATTATTCTGAGCGAATCAATGCATATTTGCTTACTTTAAAATAAAAATGGTTCAAGCTATCAACTTGTAGTGATACGTTTGCATGAAATGACTTCATACCTATGGTAAAACGTGTACAACAGAGTAAGAAGATTGATTTCAATTAAATTTTGGCACAAACTGTCAAATATCTAACGAATTAGTGAAAAAATGTTAATTATTTCTGATCCCTTAAGAACATAGATCAACTTTCGACTTATATGAACTTATTTCTATCCCAGCCAACTATTTTCACGTGCATCTTAAGGCTATACTTCAAAGTGTACATATACAAATGCTTATAGAATTGTTATAAGTGGGTTGATGACATTCATTTTACAAATAAAAATGCTTAGTTATTCTTTGATTGTGTTCGTGTTAGGATATTCATCTAATATCCTAAGTGAATAATTGCTCAGTTCCTATTGGTTAATTCCTACGGGTCAATGTTATGGTCGTCCTAGATATCAATGTCACTACAAATATTGTTTCCTATTGATCGTCTTCACTGTCAATGTCACAGACTTCGATACTCTTTCCTATTCGACCTAAATGTATAAATAGGTATTATCTGTAAAGCTTTTCATTTGATTGCTTCCTGCGTTCCTCTTTACTGTACTCAACACCATAAACAACTTCATCTAACGGCGTTGTGTTCTGATATATAGGAGATTTCAGAATAGTATTTGGGGTCGTATTGGGATATCTGAATTCGGACGTCGGTAGGATTTGAGTAGCTACTTAGCGTCATTATAACAGCTCGATCCAAACTCAAATAAATGTTGATTGATTGTTCTTTAGTTAGATGCGTTCCAATTATTGATTTCCGAAATGTATTATTTCGATAAATGAATCACATCCCCGATAAACTTCATCATCAAAACGTTAGTCTATTTCCTGCTGTTTACTCCAAACGAATTACATATTTTTACGATGACTTAGCCACAACGTTGCATTCATCAGTTTATTAGATATGACGATTAAAATAGTATTCCTATGGTCAACATCTTTAGTACCATGTTGTGTAATTTATAATCTGTTCGTAACAAGAGAAATCAGTCCGGAATGAAAAATATTCAACACTTCATTAATGTCATTGACTTTTTAGAGAACTAATTTTCGATACGTTGACCATTTTACCTTATGAGCTTAAGTATCGTTTTTTATACGATCCACCAAAGTAATAAGTAAGCCTTGTTAAATAATTGGCTGAAAGAGATTTTATCTGAAAGTAAAATAGTATCACGTAGAAAAAAACGTCAAACAAGATTCAAGCATTGCTTAGACTGAATTCTATAGGGAATCGAAAACATTGTCAATTGAATTTACAAAATGTTCAATGGTTCAATCATTCAATCACCCTACGAAATTCCTTAATATTCTGATCTCACTACACCTCTTCATTCATAGCTATGCCTGTCTTAGATATTCTATTGTTAATATGTAATTAATAAGGTCGTTTTTCTATTCTTGTGTGTGAATGATTACAATTTGTTGTTCAATATTCAAGTACAACAGTTTGCTCCGTTGTATGCCCTTGTAAGAATACTTCGTTTTAATCACAAATAAAACATCTAATTGGAAATTTCTTAAGGGCCAATTGATTACTGTTTTGATGAATGTTTATGCTATTTATGTAAACAAGTAAACATGTTTTCATCTCGTGTATCCGTTTATGACCATAGATGAATAAGGAATAAATCATATTGTAACCTTGAACAAGTTGTTTTAGTCATTAATTGCCAGCTCTTTTTATTCTATTCAATTTTCTATTCCACGCAAGATGGATATACAAATTCTCATGGAAAAAATCATTGTCTCACTAGTGCAACACAACCGTTGATGTGGTTAGGCACAGAGGAAGGAAGGTAAGTTTCAAGATTTATACATCCCTACAGTTCAATTGTTAATTTTTAATTAATGTACTGTTTACCAAACTGTTCATTTAAGCTTTGCTATGTTTGTTAGAAATACTTTCGATCTGTTGTGAAGTTAGTACTGTTTGTAGTGACGTCAGTATGTAATAACTTGCATGTAAGTTGTATGTTTTTAGGAATTACATATATAAATCTCAGTTACGCAATTATCGATGCCTATTAGTGGAGAAAGTGTTTCGACATGTTTTGGAGATAGAAAATGATGTTCTAAACAGGATTCGTTTTGAGCCACACAGCAGTCGGTCGGTCATTCGGCCAAAAATTTCAATTAATTTACGAATCGAATGGAATTATTCGGGATAAAATTCATTTTAAACTTTCATAAATTTTATGTACAAAATCCGTACAAATGTATGTACGTCTGAAAATAAATAATGATTTTGTTGTGTAAATCATTACTACTGTGATACGTGCACTTGTTAAGTTGTTTTTTTATTCATAAATCCAATTTTCATTAAAAATAACCGAAACTAATTATTCTTTGCCTACTCATAACTAATTACAATGAGAAATGTGAATACGTGCAAAAGAAAAAATTTGTTTATGAATTTGTTTGGCAGTTTATTTCATGATTCATTGATCAATTCAATGATTTAATTTTTATCAAAAAGAACCATCTTCAATACATTGAAAATTGAATCACACAAACTGCATACTTTATGAATGAATGGAGTTAATTAAAATAAAAATTCACTGAACTAAATTCAGTAATGGATGAATTAAGCGTTAACTAGAAGGAATTCACTTGAAATCGATATGTGAATTTAAAGATTCACTTTCTTCGTTATTCATTATAGCTAGGGGATTTAATATCCTCTGAAATTTCCATGCTTGCAGGTGAGATAAGTGAAATGCGTGTATCATATAATTCACTAACGGTTCGAACAAGTTGAGAAGGGAATCATCAGTTTAACTGGAAATGTGAACTGGGCATGTGAATAACTTATGGCGTAGGCAAGATATCCGTTCGCTAACCAAAGGACGGGTGTACTGTGCAGTAGTTCGCTCCGTTCTCCTACATGGATGCGAAACATGGCCGTTAAGAGTAGAAGATGTTCGTAGGTTACTAGTATTCGATCATAGATGTCTCCGAAGCATTACTCGTATATCGTGGGACAACCGAGTATGCAGTGCTGTCGTTAGGAAACGGGTGCTAGGTAGGGATGGCAGATCAATAGATGAAGTAGTGAATCTTCATCAGTTGAGGTGGTTGGCACATGTGTTACGAATGCCTAACCACCGACTGCCTCGACGAGCTATGTTTTGTAGTGTAGGAGTAGATTGGAAGAAAGTTAGGGGCGGCCAGACCCAAACATGGCAGAAATCCATGAAGTCACTGACAAGTGGACTGAGTCATGTCTGTAGATCCTAATCTTCCGGATTCGTCAGCACCTCTACCTTTGTCTTTCTAACCTTATCTCACTGAATTATTCTTCTTGAATAATATCTTCAAACCCCCTAGTCTTCTTCATTACCAATAATACCTCTGCTGTCTTTATCACGATGGGATTTGATTTGACATTTGCGTCTCTGTGCTAATGTGGTATGGCAACATGAACTTATGTACATACGTACGAAGTTCTACGTTGCAACTGACTGACTGACTGAGGCATTAGGTTCTATTCTATTTGACATTTGTGTTGATGGTGTTGTTCAAAATAACAATGCAAGCTTCACAACCAAAACATTCAGCTCCGAGAATGAGACTTCACCATCTCAAAATTATAATATAACTTCTGAAGTGAATATATGATAGTCACTGTTAATGTGAAAGTATGATAAAAAAATTATGATAATAACAGTAATAATGATAACAAAATGGTTGATGTTCATTATTGAAGTATTTCATACTTGGACTGAACAACTATTTAGTGCCTCCTCCTTCTTTTCGCCGGTTGTTTATCTGTTAAACTCATCAAATCTTTATAAAAACATAGATTTCAGTTACAAAAATTTGAACAACGTATATTAGCGAACAATATTGTTTCCAGTTAGATCGTCATCAGGCTAACTCTCTAATATACATACAGTTTTATATGAAAATACTAAATCGATCTAGATCATTTATGGGTCAAACTGCACAATGAAACAAATTACGTAACTACATCAAATGGGTACAAGCTAATAGTAAGAAGAATGGTGTTCTGTTAGTGGTAAGAATAATAATAAAATACAGTAATAAAAGTTTTTACACATCGAAATCATGAATGAATCATTGTTGGACCACCATTAGAAACCTGGAAGCACTGAAATATAGCCGTTTCGTCCTGATACGGGACTCTTCAGTAGTGCGCATCCATGACTCCTATCGTTTTTAATAGCCAGTAGAGTTCAACCCTGTCTAGTGTACGCAGTAACTACTGAAGACGATTCGGTGAGGTCACGTAGAATCGCTAGAGTTGAACATTCACACGGTTAGATGCTGGCCTAGTAATCCAGAGGTCAGGCATTCGTGCACAAGACCGAAAGTCCTGAGTTTGAATCTTGTGAGTAGCTAAAGATGTGGGTTCGCAGTGCTGAAGAGTTCCATACTAGGAGAAAACAGCCATCCAGCGCTTTCAAGTGTCTAGTAGTGCTCCAACAATGTTTCATTCATGATTTCAATGTGTGTGTAAAAATAATGTTTTTTATAACTCTAACTAAACAAAGGTTTTGTCAGTAGTTCAGCAGTGAAAGCAGTAGATCAAACTTGAATAAATAGACTTAAGATAATCATCAAAAAAATTTTAAAACAATCATGAAATAAGATGTGTGTAAATAACTAGGTAGCGAAGAAGATAAGTAGCAAGAGGCGAAAAATGTCAAACAAACACAGGATGTGAAAATAATACTAATAATAGTGAATAAAAATTGTCTATTAAGTTATTGTGCAGCCAAGGAACATATAAACTAGGGTTTTAGGTCTTCCGAATTCGCATAGCTTCTGCATTATGTTGGAGAAGGAGAAAGAATCCTGTTGAGAAAAGACCTAATCATTTGTAGTGATTCAGTTATATCTACAGTATGACCACTAGCATTCAAAAATAGAGCTGCGCATTGTTTTTGTTTGGCTCTCTCATAACTATGATGGAAAATGTTCACTCATTCATTGCTAATGTGGTCTGGTAATGCGCTCAATATTAGCTAACTCCACAGGGGCAGTTAAATTTACAAATTATGATTGAATTCTAATGAAACATATGAAGATGAGATTGGCTGAGAAAGATGTGGTTAAAGTTTAAAAGAAATGAAAGAGAACACAATAAGTTAAGGAAAACGGATTCAGTTCAATGGAAATTAGGACAAGGTACACCTGCCTTCTACATTAATCATGATAAAACGTGGATATTTAGTAAGTAGTATCAATAGTTCAGGCTAATTAATGCGATTCATTTTGAAAGGTTTTTTTATAAGCTATTTATAAATAGAAACAACATTTTCTGTTTCATTGAAATTATGAATCGATCATGGTTAGACCATCACTAGAAACCGGAAAGCACTGGACAGCCGTTTAGTCCTAGTATGGGACCCTCTAGCAATGCTGACCCACGACCCTGGAAGAAAGAATCAAACACCGGACCGTCGGTCTTGTCTGTCAACCCTTAACCTCTTGATCGTTGAGCCGGTATCCAATGGTGTTACGATTTAACTTTGATCAATCGCTGATATTGACTGATGTGTATCATAGGTTTCCAGATTAAGTTGATAGTAATAATAAACTGATTGAAAAATGTTTCGCTCATAAATACGATGAATTCTGCGTAATCATTGAATCTTATCATGAGCAATAAACAAAATATGTAAACGACTTATTCTGTAAAATAATGCATATTGGTTGGTAGTGGACATAAATCCATTCAAAATGAAGTAGTTCTACCTTAATTGACGATATTATTTTGCTTAGAAAGCAGATAACAGCTTTCATTACTAAAAGAATATTATTATTGTTACGATTATTCGTTGAAATTTCATATTTACCTAGAATTATTTCGGAATTAACAGTGAACAGAGGTGTTTAGTGGGTCGCTTTGTGTTTGACATCGGGGTCACCACTTTTGTGACTGAGTTATGTTCATCGTTGGGCTCATGACTTTAATGGTCTCCACCTGAAATACAACGCATCTACATAAACTAGCGAGCCCGACGCCTAATTTAACTCAACCCACAAAATTAGTTAGTCCGACCTCTAACTGATTACAACCACTGAATGTGGTGAACATCGACGCAGAATTCAATATAGCCACCTCCGCGGCAAATTGATGAGCTGCGACTTACAATATTATGCACCTACAGGTGCTATCACTCACTCTGCAAGAAACCATTTAGTAAACTTATTGAAAACAAAACTCTAAAATATAAGCACTAAAATATGTTAGATCACACATTAATAGACATTTTCACAAAGAAATGCATTTCACAAATTCCAAACATCTAGTCATTTCTAGGGATTCACTTGAATTTCTAAGTACACTGGTTGGTATTTGTATCAGACATTTCTGTCTGAAATAAATTATTGATTGAATCCTTTTTTATGTAGGATATACATTTTGAAAAGAGAAAAAGTAACCTGGAAAAAAACCTATTCATACCATTAAAATGTTTGTTGAACAGTATACAATAAAAGTGGCAAATTTATGAAAAGTTACATTGTTTAGACTATACTGTCACCTTTTAGATAACAAACAGTACAGGAATTTACTATAAGGTAGTAAGTAGCATGAAACATAAATTGATATATATCCACAATACTATAATAGAGATTGAATGCCTTGATCCTTTAATCTTCACAGGCAATTAAAATTTCCATTAAGTCATTGAATTTCAAAGGTCAAATGAGTGGGAATCTTTTTTCATATGTTATTACCAGTAATCACCAGTAATCATCCTTGACTTCATCAAGTGAATGTTTTTTTCAATCGATAAATCAATTCTATTCACTTTGTATTATTCTTCTAAATGTTGGTATACATTAGTTTTATAGCAGATAAATATGAATGTAACTACTAAAAAAACGTAGATTTTTTGAAAATGTTTTTGGAAAGCTGAACACATTGTCATTGATTTTGATTCAACATGAGCATATATCATCTTCGTACTTGAAGTTATTTGCAATATTCACTAGAAATGATTGTAAAAAAACTACATGAGAGAGATATGATTTTCTAAACCATGAATCGATCAATGTTAGACCATCAGTAGAAACCCGGAAGCACTGGACGGCCGTTTCTTCCTGGTATGGGACTCTTCAGCAGTGCGCATCCAGGACTGAGTTTCCCAGGAAATAATCTGCTCATTCTTTAAGCCGAATTCACTAAAGTTACATAAAATTACGACTTACAATAAACAGAATAACTAAAAGTATTAATTTCTTTGGTCGACAGATACATTTTGCATTGATTGATAACCGAACAGCAATTCCCGTCAGCTTTAATAATTACTACTCATTAAATTTCAATAATCGCTTTCAATTCAGTTAAAGTGGCTGAACATTGATCACTGTAAGATTGATTTTGATTAGGTTAAAGTTATTTAAAGCAAGCTCAGAACTGATATTTCCTTACTCAATAACCAGAATGAACTCACAATCTTGAGAGAGTAGACTCATTGTCCTATTTCGAGACATTGCATGCAATGTGACACTTTCGTTCAGAGCTTCTTACCAACTGATTTAAACCATTTATTTGTTATTAGAAATGTTTCATTGCCGATAGATTAAACTTCTTCTATTTTGATTTGTTTCTTTTCATATAGTATTTTTATGTTTTATGCAACTGATAATTTGAAGACAAGTAGACAACGTCAGAAAATTAGTTTATCTCATGGTATCAATAATATATTACATTTTGACATACATATATTTGTTGCTTGTGCAAATGGTGATCTTATTGTGTATCGACGTAATTCAGGTAAGTGATTTATCGGCTTGATTGCTTCATTCTTAACTGCTATTTATATTTAACTGTTGTTTTTTAAACATGCAAAAGATTATCCCAATGATAGATTGGGTTAACAATTTACTTATACTTGTGTTGGGGACGTTAGACTCCCAAGGGCTCACCTGATTTTATTCATGGGCTCATCAGTCAACCTTGAGATTATATTTCCCACTCGAAAAATCCTCGGCTGTTATTGGTTGATGTATTATTTGAGTACGCTATTTTTGTGGCTCTCCCAAGGACGTTTCTATAAGGTGTAAATAAACTCCATTTGTGTGCTTGTCGACCTCATTTTCCTGGGTGCTTGTAAAATACACATTCTACGCCATATCAAGACTTCTTTCTTCACTTAGATGGGTCAAAGGATTAGAGTAGCCTATCGTGTCACTGGATCATTGTCTTAGCTCTCGTTTACCGACTAAGGTGAACTTGGAATAATTCAAGCATATCAACTTACGAACATGAAAACTTGACGGTTTATTTTAAAAGAACTTTAATTGCTCAACGGTAGCTGCCTAATATGGAATTAGGTAGCAAGTTTATATCAATCTAGGCTAAGTGAATAATGATCCAAAGTGTTTTGGAAAATGTGGCTGAGTGCCGATTACTCAAATGCAGCGAATTTCCTAACAAGTGCAAATCTATAATTTATTAATATTCAAAATATAGCACAGAACTCAAAATCATAACGTTTTCCAACTTAATAAGTAATGCATTGGAACGGTGGATCAATCATCGTTAGACCACCGTCAGAAACCTGGAAGCGCTGAACGTCTGTTCCATCCTCCTATGGGATTTATGAGCAGTGCGAATTCACGACTTTTGCTACTAACACGAATCGAACCTAGAACGCTCGGTCTTACGCGCCAGTGCTTAATGTCTGGACCACGGCATCCAATGGTGTTATTGTCGAACTGTGATCAATCTAAGGATTTTCCGCAACCTCACTCAGTGTCTTCGATAGCTACGGCCTACGTCTGACAGGTTTGAACTCTATTAGTCACGTCTCCTCACGAGAACTCCGATTCATATATTTAATGAAACTCAATAATCTCTACAACCCTATAGTGACTAGCTTCGTGAGGAAATTTTCGGAGTCCTAGTGAGAAGCCTTAACTATCGGAGTTCAATCCTGTCGGTTGTGAGTCACTTACCGACGACAATGCATAATGGTTAAACAATATCGTGGATTGTGGTGATGCCTCGAATAACTGTAATCGAAAAACCAAACAACTCACCATCAAGAAGAGTCATATTTATTTAACATTTAACAGTAATACTCGTACATATCGACGGAAATTCAAATCTCACTGAGAAAAAAATATTGATTATTTTACAGATTATATTCTATTGATCGATTGTTTAGAGCATACCAAATAGTAATATACTTATTTTTATATTTTTGGTTAATTTTCTACACCTCAAACAATCAGACGGTTTATGGGATGTCAATAAACCAATACAAGTGAAATTACAACCGAATTCTAATGAACCAGTTATTGTAAAACGTATGTTAGTTGTTGCCGGTAAAATATGGTGTGCAGCGCATCGTTCAATATTCATTTTAAATCCAACTACACTTACACCGGAAGTTAGTCACTTCATTCATTTGTTTTTGTTTTTATATATTCAATACATTCAATGATTGTTTTTGTTTCATTGAATTATTTGATAAAAGTGACAATTTGAATATGAGCCGAAATAATAGTTTGTGGCTACATTAGATTCGATGTAGGGCTCACCATTTTCGGTGGTCCGCGATATGACTTCATATTTACGGACAGTAAACCATACATACGCTTATACTCGAATACAAATAACCGAAATAAAAGCGAATAGTTGACAAGGTTAAAAGACGAAAGAATAGTGTAACTCGGGGAGAATGGACTAGATAATTTGTCCGAAGGCTAGGGACAATAAGCCTTGTAGGCTCGACATAAAAGTACATTCACTATAAGTCGATTTATTATTAGGTCAATCGTTTTCTTAGCTATTCAAACTATGATAAAGTTTTTTTGCATTAAGGTGTTGTGAAGATTGTTAAGTTACACAATTTTTTGGAAACATGAATTGATCAATGCTGAAGAGTCCCATATCAGGACGAAACGGCCATCCAGTGCTTCCAGGTTTCTGACATTGATCGATTCATGGTTTCAAAACGGTTTTTTTTATCGAATTGAGTAGGAAATCATCTCCAATAACCCAAACTTTAGGTTGTGATCATACTTAAAACTGAAGTATCTAAATCAGTCTTCACATTACTTACAATTATTATCGCTTGAAATATAAATCTTAATCGATATTAGATGATTAACCTGTAGTGATTGACAAGGTCAAATGACAAGTGGAACACGTCATGTGAGCTCATCATACAAACCAGACAATAATAAGAAGAACGAATGGTACATATAAATTGTTGCAATACACAAATTGGCTTGGTTAAATAAATTGATCGAAAGGGCTTAACCAAGTTAGATGTAAGCGAACTGGAATGTATGTGGAGGCACTACAAACCCTTGTTAAATAAGTATGGATTTTCACAAGTTTAGGATATCAAGAAGCCTTAGCATCCTGGATAAACACAGTAAATAATAGGGATAGAATATATATGGTATTGTGCCTCTTAAATTGTTAAACAAGATTAAAAGATAAATACTGTGTATTTTAATTGGTATTTCGAGGGTAAACATGTGATTACGTTTACCATTCGAATGTGATCACTAGTAATAATCGCAGTTGAAAAATATACCAGTTAACAAAATATGCAAAAACAACTGTTAGACAACAACTCATTCAGAAAAAAAATTTGAATTAGATTAGACAAGATGAAGAAGTCGAGAGCGATTCAACGTAGAACTTCTTGCGTACTTACATCATTTCAAGATGCCGTGCCACATTGGCACAGAGACGCAATCGTCAATTCAAATCCCATAGTAGTAGAGGTAAGGCATTACCAGTAATGATGACAGTAATAGCAGTTCAAGGATGGAGATCGTAAGTGGAGTAAACAATTCGGTTCACTTGTTTGGAGGGAACGAAAATATGATTTTAAAATAATCACGAAAAAAATTGCAATAGATTATTACTATTAATTACTTACTTACGCCTGTAGCCCCTACTGAAGCATAGGTCGCTGACCAGCATTCTCCAACAAACTCTGTCCTGAGACTTCCTTTCTAGATCTACCCAACTGCTATTCATTCTTTTTATTTCTCTCTTCTGTTTCCGGTACAATCTGTTTTTGGTCTTGTGACTTCTGAAGAGACTAGGTTTACATCATGAAGCGTGATAGGTTTTCAAAATGAAGACCTTCTAACAACCAGGGCAAATTTCAAAATGTTTGAACTTTTTTCTGGTTACCATATTTTTAGCAAGTTAGTTTCGTGTCGGATAGGTTAGCTAATCCCATACCCAACCCTCCTCCTTTATTCGGGCTCGGGGTCGCCAGTATCCCCAAACGGGCTCCAGGAGGAGCTAGATTATTCATGTAATAACTATAAAATGAACAAGAAAATTAAAAATGAACAACAGTGTTATTACAGTGAATTAAAACACAGTGGTGGGAATGAACAATGTTGTAAAGGCTACATGTCTAAAAAGACACTGTTAGAAAGTATCAACTCTTAACATTTTAAATCCTAATAACAGTAAAAAGCTAACGACAAACATTCTCTGCATTCACAAGTGAAAGTTAAAGCTCTTCTGCAAATAATATCAATTTGTCTCATTGATTATTGAATCTATAAAATCAATCACTTGTGCTTCTATATTTTACTAGTAAGCTGAATATTACTTTACGTACATTTGTAAGTATGTATGCAGTCATTTTTTGACTGTTAAATGTATCATTTTAAAAAGCTTATATCTTGACTGAATTCGACTTAATTGAAAAATTTTTGTTTGTATAAACTCACTAAAATATTGAAAATTCCCTATTTATATGTAATTCATTATCAGTGTACGCTAAATGGAGACTAATTTATATCAGTCTAAGCGCACTAATGATATACTGAGATCTGAGATCTGAAAATAAGGTTTTTCATTGAAATCTTGGATCAGTCATTGTTAGAGCACTATTAGAAAACTGGAAGCATTGGGTGGCCGTCTAGTCCTTACAGGGGACTCCAGCATTATGCATCCACGACACCAGCCCATGGAAATCGAACATAAGACTTTCATTCTTGCGCGTTAACGCTTAACCTCTTGACCACTGAGTCGGCACCCAACGGTGTTAATGTCTAACTTTGATCAAACCTTGATATTACGCAGCCTTACTGATTTTAATCGGGATGCGACTGCCTACACTTGGCAAGATTGAACTCCACTGGTCACGGCTTCTCACTGGAACTCCGCGAATTTCCTCACTGAGTTAATCATCAGTAAGCACGTTGTATGCTATTCATTCTAGTTTTATAGGGATTATTGTTTTCTATGGAATACTTGAACCAATCACTCAGCTGAGTGGTTTAAACGTTAGGCGTTCGCGCACGGGACCGGAGATCATTTATTAGTAAAATAAAGTACTTGTTCCTTTCTAGTTTAAAACTCCTCATTATTATTAAAACTCAAATATCTTGACCAATGATCACAATGAAGAACTATATCAATTATTATTCTCAAATAACACTTGGAAAACTTACACACGTGTAATTTGCTAACATTTGGTTGTATATTTTTAATGTGGTATATTTGTTTTAGCAAACATTCATCAGTTAACTCTGTTCTTTATTTCACCATCAGTGTATCAGTGATTTGATTGTCTTGTGAGCTGTTATTCAATTATATTAGTTTGTTTTTCATCTAATTATAGCTTTCATTTCCATTGAATGGGAATTATGCTGATCCACGTGGGATACAATTAATGGCTTATGGAAAACAAACTGTATGGTTAGCTACAGAAAATAGTTCACGTATCAGTTTATATCATGCTACAACAGGGGAATTTCTAATGGAAATTGATTTAAAACCTATTGTACTTCAAAGATTACAAGGTGAGATTTATGTGTGGAGTTAATATCAATGCTTTGATAAATGTTTTTGTTTTTTTCCTCCTACACTGGAACCTGGTTTGTTTTTTTTCCACAGTAGATTGTTTCTAAAGGTGTCTGGCCAGCGGATCCAAAATATTTTCTGTATACAGCTGTTAATAAACACTTGTATATCCTGGATGATTACTCTCTTGGTTCTCCAAGTTTCCCTTCCATACAGCAGAACTGTTTTGACGTTTGTATTAAAAATTCTGACTTTGGTGTTGGTTGGTAGTAGTTTTGAGTTTCAGATGTTGTTCAGTTGTAGAAATGCCACCATTGTTTTATCGATCCGCACCTTCACCTCTGCATCATATCCACCGTGCTTGTCAATGATGCTGCCTAACTATTTAAAGGTCTTTACATCTTCCATGGCATCTCCACGGTAGTTGTATTGTATCGGGGAATCCTGCATTTTCCTTTATGTATGTTTTGACCTATTGGGATGCATAGATAGATAATGGCAAATGGGTATTATTCATCACATTTAACTGTCTATCAGCAAATGAAAACAATGTGACGTTTAGTTTGGGCTAAAAGAAATCTCGATTAAAACGATGTCCTAAGTGAAAATCAATAATGCTGTTGCGATTGTAACCGAAGTCGATACATCATTTTCGGATTGTTTTCTGTTTGTGCCAGATCACTTTAAAACTTTATTCCATCAACACACTTGCTACTCAACATTGTAGTGGCTTCATTGAAGTACCTACATAAAATTTATGTAGACTAGTAATGAACTCTACTAGTAAGAGTTTAAACTGTCTCCTCGTTGAAATCCGACCAGTTTTAAATTAGTGTTGGTTCATCCTTTACTGACTAAATTTATATAACAATTTTTGTCATACGTTTACAAAATAGATAGATTGTGTCTATCAGTGCGCAGTCCATGACATGTACTTATTCCTTTTTGAAACTCACTAGATGAATTCGTCAAGATCTCACTGGAACTTAAAACAATGATTGCAATGTTAGACCACCATTAGAAACCTGGAAGCACTGGACGTGACCAGTGGAATTCAACCCTGTCGGGTGTAGGCAGTAACTAACAAAGGGAAATGGGTGTGGTTGCGCAAAATCCCTAGACCAATCGAAGTTAGACGTTAACACTATTGGATGCCGGCCCACTGGTTCGGAGGTTAGGCGTTCACCTACAATGCTGAAAGTCCCGGGTTCGAGTCCTGCTAGGTGTAGGAGTCGTGGATGGGCACTACTGATGAGTCCCATACCAGGACGAAACGGCCGTCCAGTGCTCCCAGATTTTTAATGGTTGTCTAACAATGATTGTCTGATGCTCTCAAATGTGTAAAAACACTAATCTCCATAACTCTAATTGAAAATCAGTAATTTATTTATTGTGTTTTACGCCTACAATATTACCATCAAGTTATCAGTACCAAAGTTGAACTTGATAGCTTCAATATATTGAGCATTGTGTGCAAAGTTAATAATTCTAAGTTGTTTGTCACACAGCGTCAGAAATACAAATTTCTACTTATTGGGATATAACAAAGCAGTTTAAAACGATTGTATTTTGGAACCAGCTAATGGTTACCCTGGCTTAATAGCTCTGTGGAGAACATCTGTTTGCCTATGAATTGAAAGGTATCGAGTTTTCACTGTAAAAATCACTACTGGTATACACATATACATCTAGCTGACAAGATACTCATAGAAGTGAACGTGATTCTTGAATTCAAATGTTAACCAAATCCATCTATTCTGAAGCATAAAGAACAGTTTTTAACTCAGTAGTTTATTTAATAGATTCAGCAGAATCTTCATTGCAATCCAGATTACGGTTGTTTTTGTATTCTAATTGAACTAATACATGACGTTTATTTTTCTGAAAACAAAATTCTACACCAAAACTTGTACTTTTTAGAAAGTTCATTGAACTTGAAATCAATTATAAACAGATCTTAGAATTTATTCACATCATCTACCACTGGTCAAACAAGTTTCAAAAAGTCAAGAGAACGGAGTTTTCAGCAAACTTGAGGACTAGAGCAAGAAATGGAGATGGTAGACGGTAGCCTTGTTTGATTACAGAACATGCAAATTGGTAATTGAGGATTGTCTGTACGTATTCCCTAAACAAGCTGCGTTTCTCTGAATTTGAGATGCTGGTGAAAATTTGTAGCTCAGGTGGATGATAGTGGTTGTGTTTCGTTCTCTGAGCTAGATGTTGTTTTGGTTGTGGAGTTTTCCTTATTCTTCTAAACAAGATCAACACAAACTTCTGATCGAAGAACACTAGGGAATGTTTAGAATCTTGGCACTCATGTCAGTCAATAATCAACATAACACATAGGATCAAGAATAAGATCAAAGGGGGATGCAACCAAAATAAAAGTGCGAACAACGACAGGTTTAAGGTCAACAGCAAGCAATCAAGATCGAGGTTAACAGAACAAGCTACAGGTCAAGTATGGAGAAATTCGAATACTTCACCTCTGCTATCTGACGTTTTTGATGTTGTTCTGTTCAGAAGAACAATAAAAGCTCCACAACCAAAACAACATGCAGCTAAGAGAACCTTTCTCTGAATGCGTATCTTATCAGATTTTGACTTGTTCGTTCATAATGCTTCAGGGTCACCATACAGAGTGCATCCCACGATCTATCCTACATGACCAAGACTCTATTCAGGTCTTCACTTCCCTTTAGAAATATTTTACGCTTTTTTCTGTTAAATGATATGTATTCAATTGATAATCTTAACTTTTTAACTTTTATTCTTATTTTGAATTTCTATTTTAAAATCATCAATTACAAATTATATTTAAATCTGTTTCTTTAATAGATTGTGATGAAATTATCATGAGGCATAAAGAAGCTTGTCTAAGAATCACTTGTTTAACAGTATGCAAAGATCTATTATGGGCTGGTACAAGTGCAGGTGTTATTGTCACTGTTGCAATACCAAAACTTGGTACAGGACCTACACATGAAAACATTAAACAACCTCAGTTAGAAAGTAAGTTTGACGATTATTTTTAATGCAAATCTGTATTTATGTGTATACGTCTTTTCACCAAAACTTCCATATTATGAGTGATGTTACTGATTGACCAATGTAGATATTTCTTACGAATATTGTAAGTTTACAGTGTGAGAGAGCGAAAAACCAATTTCTTCATTTGAATATGCGTATTGCAAAATGAGATCATAACTATCTACCGGATGTGTAATAGAATCATAAAACAACTTAGTTTGTCAGAACTGCCTCGAAATAATTCTGTTTTAATGCTCAGTAGACGTTCATAATCCTTGAATTCAGATAAGCTGAAGTGAAGATAATGAGCACCAATACAAGTTATGTCCCACTATGTTCGAACTCTGACAAATTTTTAAATTGTTCTACGTGACACATACAGTCAATAGGTTATGTTCTCAGTATTATGCATTCCTGAAGAATGACGAAGTAGGCTGAAACGATTATTCAAATGCAATTTAATTTTATTACGGGGTTGTGAAGATTGTTCAGTTACACATTTGAAATCATGAGTCGATCAAATTTATACCACCATTAGAAACCTGGAAGCGCTGGACGGCCGTTTCATTCTGGTATGGGACTTATCGGCAGTGCGCATCCAGCACTCCTGCGCCTCGTAGGATTCGAACCCAGGACCTTCAGTCTTGTGCGCGAACGCCCAACCTCTGAACTACTGAGCCGGTATCTAACGGTGTTAGTGTCTAACTACGACCAAATCACGTAGTTGCGCAACCTCATAAGCTGTCTTCGGCAGTTACTGTCTACACCCGAACAGGTTGACCTTCACTGGTCACGACTTTCCACTAGAACTCGGAGGAGATTCATCACGTAGCTAGTCACTAGTGAGCACAGGTAATTGCATTTCGGGTTGTGAAGATTGTTAGGTTAGACATTTGAAATCATGACTCGATCAAAGTTAGACCACCATTAGAAACCTGGAAGCACTGGACGGCCGTTTCCTCCTTGTATGAGACTCATTGAAGTCAGATATTAACACCGTTAGATGCCGGCTCAGTGATCCAGAGGTTAGGCGTTCGCGCGACGTGCAGTAGTCGTGAATGCGCACTGCCGATGAGTCCCATACCAGGACGAAACGGTCGTCCGGTGCTTCCAGGTTTCTAATGGTGGTCTAACTTTTATCGATTCATGATTTCAAATTTAATTTTAATTAGTTCTTTGACCAATATCAAATGATTCATGAAAGAAATCTTAGTTTGAAAATATTCTTTGAACTGAATAACCATTAACAGTACTCACAAGATATTTAATAAAACATACATTATCTTAACAAAATAAATATTATTGCTGAATAAATCTATAATCAGACATTTTTAAAGGAAATATTTGTCATGAAACGATCTGAATCGTGCTACAATTGAAAAGCAATGAATATTAGATATCTGGTTCGTTCTAGTACAGGGTTTCTCAGCCATGATAACCAAGTAATGATTCGCTTCAAAATGTCACGTAATTTCCAGTCACAATTCTTGAATGATAGAATTGAGATTGAAACAACCATTGCCAAAGACACTGAATGAATGTTGCACCAAATTACGAAGTAATTGTATTGTGGTGTGAGCTACTTATAAGTAGTATATGACGTGAGTGTCAACGTAATGTCTGGTGGCAGCAGAAGATGGGGGAAGATCAAGAAAGGAACAGTTAGAACACAATGGAATTTGTATGAAACGCATGAATAGTGACAATGCATTGATGTTTTGCAACAGGGACAGTCCAGTTCGATATGATGAACTGATATTTTACAGATTAACGATTTACGATATGGTTTTCCAATTTTACTGAGTAACTCTGTAATTTTCGTTACATACAATTCGGTTGCCCCACCTGTGTTCAAGTTCACTACAGTATCACTGGATTTAAACTTGATAGTCTGAATGATAAGAGGTTTTGCACAAGACTAAAGTTTATAGGTTCGATTGGTTGCTGAAAAATAAATGCACATTGATGAAGATTGACCTACTAATGCAAAACAACTGTTCAGTTTTTGTTACTTATGCACGTAAACACATCATTTTATATGCTTGAACCATTACGAGTTCATTCTAGTCAGTGAATGAGAGCGAGGATCGAGGATTCGGCTACACTAATCCGAGTGTCCCAACCCCAATATTGAGTAAACAGAAGGAGACTTAATATGAAGTAAAACCTGTATTCTACAAGCATTCACAAAGTACGAGGTCCGGGTCCGGGTCATTCAATGTAACATATAATCCGTATTTATACAGTTAGGTCGAACAGGCAACAGCATCGAAGTCTGTGACATTGACACTTAAGGCGACCAATAGGAAAAAAACATTTGAAATGACATTGATAGTCAAGAGCACCAATAAGAAACAACATTGAAATACATAACATTGATACCTAAGGACGACCATAATATTCACCAATAGGAATCGACCAATAGAATTTACACTTACAAAATTATTCTCCTTAGGATATTTGGTGAATAATATCCTAACAGTTTTCCTTTGGTTTTCAACATCACTTCAACTAAGATCAATCATCAATAAACTGTTGACATTGTTTTTAAATCGTTAATTTGCTTTATATCTTAAATTCTTATTTTTTTTCTAAATAATTTCCTAGCTTTATCATATGGTCATATTGGACAAGTTCGCTTTCTTGTCACTTTAGATAATATAGCAGACGACGAGAATACATTAACATGTAAAAATGAAAAATTGAATACATCAAATCAATCATTATCTATCACAAATCCCACTACCAATTCGGATAAACTGACATCATCAGACAATAATAATACTCAAACAAACCGATCATCAACCTCGTCATCTCATTTAACTAGCTCCAATCAAACACCTACTCTTAGTCAATCTGGTCAATTATCAAGACATTATTTTACAAGTAGTCGTAGATCATCTGTTAATCCATGTACTACGATCAATACAAAAATGAAAGTTATCAGTGGTGGTGAAGGACGTGAGGAATTCAGTAAGAAAGATTCCAACACTTTAGGAATCTATGATAATAACAATAGTAGTAGTAGTAATAATAATAGTAATACTATTAATAATAATTCATATTGTACTATCGGTGATGATGACAGTGATAATTATGTGCTTATATGGGATGTGCAATAGCAGCTATTCCACACATTTCAAATAGATACTTATTATTTCACAATGAAATTGTACAGTGACTACTTTTCATTTCTTTATAGTTCATTTTATTTTAAAAGGCACTTGTTTTTTTGAGTGATTAAAACAAATGGAACCAATTTGTAAATTATCTTCCATCATATATAATTTGGACATTGATCAATTCTATGCATCAATATTCTCTCTCTCTCCATTTGTTGTTAACATGAAAACTTCAATCGTCGTCGTCGTTGTTGTCGTATATACTACCACCAATCTTCTCTCTCTCTTGCAATTGAATAGCTCCGCATACATAACACACAACAGATAGATGCATTATATTATATCATGGGCATGCGAAACACAATCATCTTGTCAATTACTACTGATCAATATATATATATATATATATATATATATATATATATATATATATATATATATATATAATTACAGTTGTTTCGTAATCTTTATTTGGTTTATTATTATCAATAACAGATATCTGTAGTAAATCAAATGATCGTAATCATCGACTTCTTTATATATATCACATTAAAAACTCACTACTTGGTATTTCTGTTTGTTGTGTTTAAAACAATGAAAATTAACTTTCCTATATATATACATAAAAATATATAGTTTTTATCATAATTGTAGTGCATGTATATTCCTTTTTTTAAATATTAAACTGACATGTATGTATATATATATATAAACATTATAACATAACATAACTCTCTATGACAATAACACTCACTCACTATACAGTATATAAACAAACAATGGAATTCAATATTCAATGCGAACTAAAACAACTTGATCACAATAAATAAAATTATATTTGTAGCTGGTTCTACTAGAAGAAAAGGTTTTTATTTATTTTATTTTATTTTAATTGTGTTTGTAAAAATATGACAGAATCAAATGATGATATTGGTTTGAAATTTGTTTACAATAATAAACAGAAGATGAACGATATTGATTGAAGACGATACAAACAGTTGTTTGAAGTCAATAGTAGATGAGCATGATTTGACTAAGAAAAACTGTCAAGTGTAAGGGATGGACCGTGTCGTTTGAATTGTTCGAGAAGGTAATTGGAAGTGTTACGCCTACACGTAAACACGTCAACTTGATATACTTGAACTATTACGAGTTTACCTAGTCGGAAAACGAGAGCGAGGATCCGGCGACACGACATGCTACTCAAATCCGATTATTCCAACCCCCATATTTAGTAAAAATAAGAAGACAAGACTTGATATGAAGTAGAACCTGTATTCTACAAGCATCCAGAAAGTACGAGGTCCGAATCCAGAAGAGAATCAGGATCTCGGACTAGGGATCCGGGACCGAGCCCTGGTCCTGGTCGTGGTCATAAAATGTTACAGATAATGCGTATTTATACATTTTGGTCGAATAGGAAACAGCATCGAATTCTGTGGCATTGACAGTTAAGACGACCAATAGGAAGTAACATTTGAAATGACATTGAAAGTCCAGATGACCAATAAGAGACAACATTGAAGTATTTGACTTTGACAGTTAAAACGACCATAATTTTGACCAACGGAAATCGACCAATAGGATTTGATCAATAATTCTCTTAGGATATTGGATGAATATCCTAACAAGAAGGCATGATTTAATACCCTCAGTTATTAGTTATCGTTGTTGGTCTGTAATGTCATAAAAGTAAGAGTTTCTTTGAACATAAACATCGTTTACATTGTTGACCAGGAACTAGCCTAATTCAGTTAGTCACTGAATAGTTGATGGCTATGTAGGCTGTAGGAGATTCTTTAGAGAACGTTAACAGCTTTACATATCTGGGCAGCATCATTGACAATCAAGGTGGATCCGATGCAGATGTGAGGGCGCGGATCGGCAAAGCAAGGGCTGCATTTCTACAATTGAAAAATATCTGGAACCCCAAACAAATATCAGGATTTTCAATACATACAATTCTATTGTATGGAACGGAAACTTGGAGAACTACGAAAACCATCATCCAGAAGATACAAGTATTTATGAACAGTTATCTAAGCAAAATACTTCGGATTCGTTGGTCATACACCATCAGCAACAATGTACTGTGGGGAGAACAAACCAGATTCCAATGGAGGAGGAAATCAGGAAGTAGCGGTGGAAGTGGATGGGACACACACTGCGGAAAGCACTTAATTTCGTCACAAGACAAACCCTCACATAGAACCCTGAAGGTCGAAGGAAAAGAGGAAGGCCGAGAAAAAGAGAAAGATATGAGAATAATGAACAAAAACTGGATAGAACTGGAAAGGGAAGACCAGGACAGAATTGGTTGAAGAAAACTGGTGGGTGACCTATGCTCGATCGGGGGTAACAGGCGTAAGGAAGTAAGTAATGCCGGTATCTCACAGTCGACTGAAACTGTTCATACCAATCATTAAATCAAGTTAACCTACTGTTAGGAAATTTCAGATCAACATTTAAAAGTTGGAATTTGATAACAATTCGAAACATTCGAAAAACGTCTTAAAACGTTACTTTGTTAAATTATAAAAATATGGATCACCATTTTTGCGGCTTCAGATTTGACTCCAGTGGGGACGAATGATCGAGTATGCAACAAAATAAATCTTCCTTTCTATTTCTGTATATTATGCTTGAGCAAAATGCAGTTCAAGGAGAACTCTTTTTCTTACCAGTAGAAATTGACTGCTGATAAGCGGCATCAAAAAGACTTTAATGAAACAGTATCCAATACCGACCAGCCGACATCAGCACGCTGAATTTTGTAATAATTGTGCTTCCTAAATTCCCTTAAGAATAGCTACAATAATGTCTATGCTAGATTCTAACTTTATAAAGATAATGATAAAGGGTCAGCTAATAGGTACGTCAAGTTTATGCTCATTACTAATTCCAATATAAATATCAACCTAGACTAGCTCAAAAATATTACTTCGCTCATTTGATTGACATTTTATTAATTTTAACTCAACAGGAACTTTCAATAACTAATTACGTTTGTTACATGTGTAAAAACGCAAACCTCCAAAACTGTGCCCCAATATATCGTAACAGTGCTCACTAGTGACTAGCTTCGTGAGGAAATTCTCGGAGTTCTAGTTGAGAAGACGTGACCAGTGGAGTTCAACCCTGTCGGGTGTAGTCAGTAACTACCAAAGACAAATGGGTGAGGTCGCGCAAAATCCCTAGATCAATCAGAGTTAGACATTAACACCGTTGGATGCCGGCCCAGTGGTCCGATGGTAAGGCGTTCGCCTACAGTGCCAAAGGTCCCGCGTTCGAATCCTGCGAGGAGCAGGAGTCGTGGATGCGCATTGCTGAGGAGTCCCATACTAGGACGAAACGGCCGTCCAGTGTTTCCAGGTTTCTAATGGTGGTCTAACAATGATGATTGATTAATGATTTCAAATATGCACAAGTCACATATTGAGTTTAATGACCTTCATATACCTTTCAATCATCAAGATCAGAAGAGACCTCAGGTTCAATCTATTCATTCCCAAATATCTTAACTATTTGAATCCTAAAACGTTATTCGTGCGTTCATGTTCCAAAACTTTTGTTTTGTTTTTTTTTACATCATTTCAAAATTGTTAAATGGAAAAGCTTCTTTGATGTGGTAGTTTTACATGTTGCATAACTTTTGTGGCTGCACTCGATTTTTCTTCGCGCTCACTCATTCGGTAGCCCCAATGCGACTACTGTATTTGACAACAACTAATCTCCATTTCTGCAAGGGTTACTTTATTTCGAGCATCTGTTCACGTGGGCGGACATGATCATAAACAGCCCTAAAGCAAAACAAAGTAAACTGGAGACGTGGAGCGGCACAGTGCCCCTTTCTTCCTCTTACAGATAAGCTCTCGCTGATACCTGCACTCCGTCAGTAAACAAGGTTTTTCGTAGCTAAGGGTAAAGTTTCCAATAGGAATAATTTATGCAGAAAATATGGTCTAGTCGCCTAAGGGTTTCGGCAGCTGCAATTCAAGAGTTTGAAAAACCCGTACTTTGATCACAATCATTGGTAAATTCTAACTGGGTGAGTTCATTTAAATTTGTTGACAACCTCAGATGATGACTCTGCAAAGAATGAACGTGCAAAACAATCAGGTGTCTTGTCTGATCATGAAGCACCTTATAAACCTACTGTTACAACCACTCTCAAATGACTACTGATACTGGATACAATTCAAATTGTATAAAAAATACCATTCAGTAGTTAACGTATACAAAACATCAGAAAACTACAGAGTCAGTTTTTTTTATAACATTTCATAAATATCAACAGTCTAATGACCGTATCTTTAGCAAATAAGTTAAATGATTGATGAATTCCGACTTGCATTGTGGTCACTCTGGCTATATGCATTGAGTAAATAAATATCCAATAATTCCGCCATTAGAAACTTCGGGGCTACTGCCGGTTCCAAGCCCGGATAAAGGAGGAGGGTTGGACATGAGGTTGGCGACCCCATTCTGTCAAAAACTAACTTGCCAAAATAACGCTAACCAGAAAAAATAATTCAAACCATTTTAACTCTGCCCTGGGAGTTGGAAGAAGAATTATGACGTCGCGTGATGAAAGCCGAGTTCCCTCGGAAGTCACGGGCTGATGCCTCTTCTCACAACCAGAGCAACCATTTTTTTAGGTACATGGAACGTTCGTACATTGTGGGAGACTGGAAGACTATTTCAAGTTGCGGCAGAAATGAAAAGATGCAACCTCGAGGTGCTCGGCATCAGTGAAACGGATTGGACACAAGTAGGACAACGGAGACTACCTTCAGGGGAACTGCTGTTATACTCTGGTCATGAAGAGGAAAACGCTTCACATACACAAGGAGTTGCACTGATGCTGTCCAAACATGCACAAAAGGCACTGATAGGATGGGAATCTCATGGACCCAGGATCACTAAAGCATCCTTCAAAACAAGGAAAAAGGAAATTACAATGAACGTCATCCAATGTTATGCAGCTACCAATGACTACAATGACGACGTTAAAGATCGATTCTACGAAAGGCTGCAATCAATCGTCAAGAAATGCTCACCAAAGAATTTGACGATTCTTATGGGTGACCTGAATGCCGAGGTTGGTGGAATGGACAACACTGGATATGAAAACATCATGGGACAACATGGACTGGGAGAAAGGAACGAAAATGGTGAGAGATTTGCAAACCTATGTGCC